GAGATCTTTTGGACTACGTGTACTATTTGAACGAAATTACGTTTGTGGCATGCAATAAATGCGCATAAAAACATTCGATAAATTCAAGTGAAATAAAAAATAAAAAATATTTATAATTTTGTTCATATTGCATTTTACAATTCAATTGAGGCGTACGATGCATAAGAAATATAAATTATCTATAAAAAAGTAAATTGTCAATATTGATGCTAAAAAATTTAAAAATAATATATTTAAATATTTGTACATATGAATGAAGTTTTATTAACAAACATAAAAGATTTATTTTAACGTACAATATTAAAATAAAATGAATATTCTATTGATATATTTACATTGAACATAATATAAAATATCTTAGTATTACTTAGTATTTATTCGTAAATATTAATTTGGCCACCAACTAAGTGTAGTTGCATATTTATAAAAAAATCTGTGAATTAGATAAAAAAAAAATATTATTTTTAAGATTTATTATTTATTATAAATCGAAATATTATGTTTTCATTATAGTTGCTTGAAAATCATAATTTCAAGTATGCAAAAGATTCAAAATATTTGCTCTGAATGTCAAACTTATAATCTTTATATATTCTAATTACAATTTCATCCGCTTTAATTTATTAATTTGTAATTCGATTATGTATTACTTTAATGAATAACACAAGAAATTTAGCACACAATCACATCACAACTACATAAATTTAAAACTATATAAATATTTAAGTTATATTAGTATTTCACCTTAAAAGCTTATCATATTAATCTAATTGTTATTTTCATTCATAAAACATTGGATAGCTATTTAAAATTTTGTCAGTAAAATTCTCAAGAAAATTAAAATTAAAATTAACCTAAAATTCAATTGTTTTTACAAGCAACCTAATTATTATTTGATAAATCATTATTAAATGCTGATTGAATTTAAAAATTTTATAATTTTTAAAACAGATATAATTACTGAGTAATATCGCAAGAAAATTTTCAATTATATCATCTACAAGACAATTAATAAGTTATATTTTTTTGTGGGTATGTACGTGTTTAAATTAATGTTATATTAATGTTGATCACTATTATAAGGTCATATACTTAAAAAATTCTAATTATTGAATTTGCTTTATTTTTACTAGAAAATAAATTAATATGATAAAATATTAGAAGTATAAATTAAGTCAAATAATAATTGTATCGTATGAAAGGTTTCGTTACATTTTAAATAAAATTCTTGAATTAACAGGTTAAATTTAGAAGTAAAATGATCACTTATTCGCCATCGAAGTAAAACTAAAATAAAAATATTTGTGTTTACGTAAATAGATCAGTAATATATTTTGAAATTAAACAATATATTAAGCATCATTATATATCGAAAATGAAATACTCATATATCGCTGAATACTAATAAATAATGCAATTTAATTTATCCTAAAAATTCTAAATCTTTCGAAAATAATTATTAATAATCAATATTATATATTTTAAGATATCGTATTTTTCAAAACTATTATATTAATTTTTAACAATTAATTCTGAAGCTATAAATGAATGAAATCTTTTTAATTGATAGTTTGTCACGTGTACTAAATTATCTATTATAAGCTTCAACAATTGCAGTCGTGTATAACATAAAATATAATATTTGTACATTACACAATTATATAAAATTAATTTATACATTATGATATGTTGATTCGCTATATTAGATATACATTAGAATAAGTGATATTTTGCATTTTATAAACTAATTTAATTATAAAAATAATAAAATTATACCATGACATATTTAGTTTAAAATTTAAAAAATAATAAAAATTGATTATATATAATTTAATTTATATTAATTATAATGTTTTAGTCAAAATTGATTTATGTATATATATATATATATATATATATATATATATAAGTAATTTTAATATTATATAATTTCAATTACATGAAAAAAATTAATGAAAATATTTATGAGTATATGATAAATTTGAAAAATAAGTAATAATATAATTATTGGATACATACCTTCACTGCAGTAATACGTGAATAGATAAATAGTCAAGAAGTTGAAAATAACTTATGGAATTATAAATGAAAGCATTTACCTTTTCATAATCATTAAAAAAACATTATATTATTAATTACGTAATCTATATATATAGTAATGCCGATTAAAATATATACTTATTATGTAATATCCATTTATACATATAAAGCGGTTTTTCGTATACATATGTATATTTTCAATATATAGTTTAACAATTTATTGAATTATTTAATTTAGGATTTTATGACTTTTTATCAAAGGACATTAATTTATTAAATTTAACATGATAATTTGAATACCGAACTATCATTCTTATTAATATATTCTATAATTTTTTAAAAGCAAATTGTTTGCAAGTTATGTAAATTTATATGAATTCTTTACTAATATCAATATATTATAATGTAATAAATGAAAGTTACATATAATAATTTATAATAAAAATTTATAATATAATATATTTATAAATATCATTAATTAAATATATTAGTATATTATTTATGTTTAAAAGTGCTATTATATTATATTAAAAATTATTTTATAAGAATATTGAAAACATTGAATTTAGGGGAAAATTCCGAATTTAATGAATAATTTATCTAATTTATAACTTTTAATACCACGATTATCGGATTATTTCAATTACTCAAATATAATATTATTCAGTAAATAAAATTACTAAAAAAGCTGAATATATCGATTAAATTGTTTTTATATTAACTGCCATTGTTGGGCTATTATTTATAATAATCAATAGAAGCATGCATGTTATAAGAAAATTGGTAAATTTGTATTTGTCGAAAAACCATTTATTTAGTTGAATAAATATTCTTCTATCTATTGCCTCTATTTTAGAGAAGTACACATTATACATATAAGTAGATTTCTTGTTTCGTTCGGATACTGAACACACAATTAGATTACTCTTAACCATTATTTATACACTGACAAACATAAAAATCTAAGGTGGGTTCATAGAAGGTCGCCATCTTTACAATAAAAACAAAAAGCCTACATCTAGCGCATTCTTAAAAAATAGTATCTTATAAAGATAGAACTAAGTCAAGTGACACATAGATTCTAAAAAATCGACGAGAAAAGAGAAAGGGGATAAATGCACATCTCGAGTTTTATCCTCTTTATCTTAAATTGTATCGCAAAATACGTTACATTATATAAAAGTGTGTGTGTTTGCGCTCGCATGTGTACATTTATGTGTGTTGGCCCTGTGCACGTGCGTGCACACATACGCGTTTGTGTGTAAGTATAGTTGTGTTCATATGTATGTATGTATGTATGTATATATATATATATATATATATATATATATATATACATGCTTAGGCCTGCAATAAAAATGATTAGTGGATTCTTTCGCAATATCATATCCAGAAATCATTTAATCGTTATATTACTAATAAATTGTCTCACAAAATTCCATCCTTTCATGAAACAGTATACAATGAGTAAATCAAGCGGTAAGTGGAAAAATCTCTTTTATTTTCAAATATAAAATTTATCGTGACATATGTAATTTCATTAATTAATTTTTTTATGTGTAGAAATATTCGACGCGTATTTATGCCTCCACTTTGAGATAATCAGTGTTATGTACGATTTTATAAAGCAATGTGTGTAAGTATTTGTGCGTGTGTTTCTAAGTCTGTGTTTCAAGAAAGACGATAAAACGCTCGACTTCGTATCTACAGCTTATACAATATATCTAAATTAAGCTATTACAAAAGTTGGTACCAAAGTATATTTGATCCTTAAGAAATGCGTTATCTTAGGATCTATCTTGTCATTGATATATATTTTGTGTTTGTTTTCCTTTTTCTTTGCTGCTCCTCGCGCTAGTAATTTTTTCAAAGAACGACGAAAGCAATTTATCATCCAAATATTTGTATTATTATAATTATTAATAATATTAGAGTCATTTATCATTTATATACACATCACATACATGTGAAATTTACTTATAAAATTGTGTTCACATTCGTCCTTGCACTCATTCGCACATTGCACACATTCTATAAAAAAGGAAAAAGAAATAATGAATTAACTGTACACCGAGATCCTTCGACCATCGCGTTTCCTGTTATTATTAACAATAAAAGTTGGAACTTTAAAAATTGTTATTATAAATAGAGGGATAAAAAAATAATTCTGAATGTATTTAGAATTTTAATGGTATGAGATATAAAATGATAATAATGTAAAAATAAGTAGAAAATTTATTGTTTATTTCATGATTTGATGCTATCGGTAAACGCGATGGTACCTTAAAATAATACCGTGACGCTAGGAACTATTCGCCTTGCAATGGATCACTATTTTTTCGTGGAGAGAGAAATCGCGCGCTCGCATCAATCCCGTCGTTTCTATTTTCTATAATTCTCTCTCTCACACACACTCTCTCTCTCTCTCTCTCTCTCTCTCTCTCTCTCTCTCTCTCGCTCTAAGTCTTTTTAATTTTTATTAGCGCGCATTTTTCCCTTCACTGGTATTAAACTAGTATGCATCGCACTTCTCATTTTATGATGTTTTTATTTCTGCGGCAGCCACATTCACAAGGCACTTCAGTCTATCAATGAAAAAAAGAATGTTCAATACAAGAAAGCACAACGCAGTATGCCCACGATCATCCTTCAAAGGAATTTAAAAATTTTCTTAAGAAGTTTATTCCTTTACTTATTATATTGTTTATCACTTCTAGTATCTGAGCAACATTAATGAAAATAAAATCTATTAAAACAGATTTTCTCTCTCTTTCTCTCTCTCTCTCTCTCTCTCTCTTTCTTTCCCTCCTCTCACTCTCACATTCTTTAACCCTCTCTCTCTCATTCTCTCTCTCTCCCTCTCGCAATTTCTCCATCTATCACTTTTATGAAACCTCTGTCTCACTCTCTCTCTCTCTGCTCTGCTCTGCTCTGCTCTGCTCTCTCTCTCTCTCTCTCTCTCTCTCTCTCTCTCTCTAACCTATACCTTATAATTTCGGTTGCGCTATTATAAATGATCAGGAAGAAGAAAGGTCACTTTTTTTTACTGTTATTCGCTCGTCGAGAATCACGTGAAAGTCGTATTGGTCATGGCGACTTATTTGTGAGAAGACTATGAGCATCCGCAGCGTTCGACAACCATGCCGGGCAACCGCGAGAAGACGATCTGGTACTCGTTATCAAAGTAGAGCATCGTGATTTCGGAAAGCTTTCGTGGTGCACAGCATGGACCCGTATTGTTGGGTGGTTCGGCTAAGCTCACTATATGTGTATTCGGATAGGCGGGCAGGAAAGCCATTGGACAGTCTCCCGAGCAATAATTGGCGTCGTATCTGCAAGCACAGGAGCATCCCCTTTTTTCAATAAACAAATAGATCAACCTACAGTTGCTTTGGCCAATATGTTCAGTACATGTAATCATTGATCAATCAATTTCAGTGGACAGTGGTTTTAACGTAGTAAGTCTTTAAAACTATGACATCTGACGATGTTATAACTAAGGCATAACTAAGCAATGTCTATACGTTTACTATGACTACCTGAAAGAGTATTTTTAATGAAAAGAAAATTATACTGTATTTACTGGAGCTGCAATTATCCATTTATTGCGTTGCTATGCAGAAATTAAATTGATTTCGAGGAAAGGGAATAATATTTAAAAAAAAAAAAAATTAGATCACGTATTCTTTTGGAACGATAGATTCAATACTCGTAATATTAAATCTGCATTATCGCGACGATAAGTGAAAATTAAAATTATTAAATTAATCAGTTAGTGTTTCAATTATGTACTTTTATAACCGTTTGCATTTTGATGCTAAAATATATAAAACAATTTTTTATTGTCAATATCATCGTGAAACATAAAAAAGAAAGTAATGCTTAAAAAATGATTGATATATAACATTATAGGTTAATCAACGTATCATCTTATCATCATAATATCATAATTAGGACAATTATGTTGCGCAAAAACTGTCTCACATAATTAGAGCTTTGTATAATAATTTTCCATTTGTTAAAAATTGAAACTAGAAGGATGTTTATCAGTCGTCATAAGTACTCACTTTTTTGGTGCTATGATCCAGTCCCAACCGAACTTCTCGAAGTCGACGGTAAGCTTATATCGGCAGCATCTTGTCTCCTGGCTGGCCTCGTCACAATTTAGACCAACGTTTCTTTTCATCCTGGCGCCCCGTCGCGAATCCAGCTCCTGCGTTTGAACTTCCAAGTAAGGCGCATTCTCAGATCCTGGACTTGTTTCGACAAGCCTAAAACTCCTAGTGGGCCTACGCCCGTTCGCCCCACCGATCTTCACAGCCACGCCAAGATTATCTCGTGGATGCTTGAACCACTCGGCAACCATCCGTCTAACCTCTATTGTCACCCAAAGGCCCCGTCTACCCGCGGGTCGTCTGTATTTCGTCGTAAGTGGCGGTCCCAGTTGTGGGCCGCCCATGTCCGTCGAGCCGCGCATTATTCGTTGTAACGTAATTGTCAGAGTTCCGCCCTCGCTCGGACTGCTTATCGTTTCTGGCTCGCTATCCTCGCCTATCCCAGGAGTCTCCGACGGCTGATCCCGATTCTCCTGCGCCCCGTAAATCCATAGTGAAAGCTCCGCGCGTGTTACCCTGTGCTGTACGATTTTGTCAGAAAATTTGAAGTACAGCACATCCAGATTTCCCTTTGAATGCCTTAGCCTTTGATCTGTACAAAATAAATGCTTTAGATGCATTGCTAAGAAATTCATTCGTATTTTATAGCTACCAATGATAAACAATAAATAATAAAAATTAATTCATAATAATTATTATAAGCTTATTGTATAATCTAAATGTAACTAATTCCTACATCGTTTAAAAACATAGTTTACCATAATGTCAAACAATTCCCATATGATAATTTTTTCATTAATAAATATGTTATTAATGCGTCGAACGATTCAAATTTGAATTAACAGTAGTGTTTTAAAAAATCGGAAGAAAATTTTAAAACCCTCGTTTATGTAAAGTTAATATTATTATACAACGGCATAAGATATCTTAAATCAGTTATACTATTATTAAACGGTTTTTATTAAAAAATATTCGAAGCAAGAGAGATTGAATTAATTAATAAGCTAATAATATTCTTTAATTACGAACAAAATTATTATTCACTATTCACACATAGATATGAATTAAAAAATTAATGTTACTCTGATTAACACTTATATATACTAGAATATTAATTTTAGCGCAACTGCTTTAAATATATACAATTAAAATTGTAATTATACACGTGTCAGACTGCCAGTTATATTGGTATTTTATTTATCTGTTACATATGTATGGATCATGGTAAAAGGAATTTTATTAATAATTTAATAATTCATTTATAAAATGTTATGATCTAATTAAAATCGTAAGCACATATAGGTTAATAAAATTCGATAGTCTGGATATGGATTATATTCTTAAATCTTTATATATCGAGTCAATAATAAAATTTCATTAACACTATTAGCCTTCTTAATTCTACATATTCGTTAAAATATTAAACAAAAAATTTTCAAGTAATTCATAGTAATTTTCAATCATAATATGAACATTAATTATCTGTGTAATACAAGAAGTTCTCGATTCCGTTTTAGATCAAACAAGCATATAAAAATCTGTCTCATATATTGTCTAGAATGTTGTATAACAGTCGTCGAGCCTAACATATAAAGCGACGATAAATTGACGTGGAAATAATTATAGTTCTATTGCATATAATCAGCTGCTTCTGTAGGTCAATCGGCGAGTCAATCGAATATGTTCCAAAGTCTTCAAAGTATCGCTTATAGAGGAAAGAAGAAATTGGGAGCACGTAAATTGTAGGAAGAGAGAGAGAGAGAGAGAGAGAGAGAGAGTGTGTGGGGTGGGGTATCTTTTTATGTACAATGACGTAATGTAATTTTTTATATTGATGTGCTAAAATTACTTGTTGCAAATAAATATGTTTTATTACTTCTATGAATGCAGCCTTGCACTTACTTATTAAAAAAAAAAATAATCTCTTAAAATTAAAAGTTATACGAATTACATATATAAGATCATTTAAAAATAATATTTCATGTTTCGAATGCAAATTCGTATAATAATTTATATTTGGAAATGTACCATATAGAAGTAGAGAGTTTATTTAAAATTACATAAAATTTATGATATGAATTAAATTATTATTAAGTTTCAAATAGACACTAGGCTATTAAGTATATTTAAAGAAAAAATTCGATGCGATTACTTATCCATAACTAAGTATCAAATAAAACTAATGTTGCTGTATAGAAATTATTAATTCAAAATAAAACCGCAATTATGACTTTAAAATTCTTTTAAAATGATTTTACCACTGTTTTTTATATACACGCACTTTATAAGAAAGAAATTTATTTATATTATTCTAACAATTCATTAATTGCAATTTGGTAATATTTATTTGCAAAATAAATAAAATATTGATAATTAACTTTTACACTTATAAAGATATGTTTGCCTATTAATATAAGGCTTTCATAGTTTTTAGTCGAATTGAAAATTTATTACCTGTAGGTATATTGTACTTCATTACGAATGCTTCAATTTATTAATTTATCATTGATGTTATTCCTCATACTTCAGCTTATCAAAAAATATTTCCTTCTGATTTAATTATAAGGCTTTAATTTTCATATAAAATGACGATTTCAGTTAATTGGCTTCTTTATTGCAGCAATAGTTTCATCCGTCACTACAGTTTGTCGATGCCCAAGACGCTCTACATCTTCAAGAGTTTATCTTTCATGCTTAAATTCAGCAAACCAATTATAAACTGGCATGCGCGTAGGGGCAGTGTCTCCGGAAAACTTCAATAGCCTTTCGTTTTTTTAAACAGTTAAGTTTATCGCTCGTCATAAGCGATTAAAAGATAAAAATGAACACCGAACTTCAATCTCAACTAGTCTATCTATATTTGTTGGTTATTCTCAAAAATACCAATATTTCGAATGTTATTGATCGTTATTTACAAAATTTTAAAGAATATATCACTTAATAAAAAGTTGGTTCTTATTCTAATTAATCAACGCAAGCTTCACGAATTATGTGACGAAACATTAAGATTCTACAAATAATCTTATATAGTTTAATGAAAATCACTATACAATGTAATTAAACTAACAGAAGTAAACTAGAATTACAATACTCATGAATTCTATTTATGAGACATTGTGTTGAATTAAAAAATGTTAAATCCTAAAAATCAATTACAGTATTAAATTATTTACTTATTGAAATGCACGGTTAAGCATATTTAATTCTAAATATACATCTCTTCTATTATAATAATAAATTACATTTCAATTCAATAATGATCGTAATCGACTATTAAATTTAGAAAAATATTTAATTAGTTTTGATATATATTTCAGATATATCAGTGAAATTTGTAACTCCATTTATAATTAATCAATCCATATTTATCAATTATTCCTAAATTTACTAATGCTTAAATATATCATTGAAAAATAATGTTCTTTGTCAAAAATCATAATGGTGATAATCAATCAAGACAAGTAGTCATCAAATCTTCGATGAAAATAACAAGAAACGTGAAAACGATTTATATTATCTATATTAGTATAAAAACTTCATTTTATCACGCATAATGAAATTTTATTTCAAAGTATTCATTGTTACAAGAATTTAAATACATTCTATGTAACACCCTCCTCCTCTCCCCCCCCCCCCCTTGAACAATTATAAAAATCGTATTATCAAGCTTCGAATGTTGAGATAATGCTGATGAGTTCATTGAGTGTAGGAAAGTGATAGAAATTTGTCTTAGTAGACTAAAAAGAAAGTTACTTAGATCTATCAGAAAATCTATACATAAGACCTGATTAAGCTATATTATAATTTTTATACGTCATATGAAATTGATTTGTTTTGAAGTATTACCAGCATTATCAATAAAAAATATCATGTTTACGTCCTTTCCGACATAATACAGTCGCAAATATTTCTGTGCGATTCAAATACATACTTTGCAAATACTTAGAATCTTCACACTGATTATGATAAGTGCATTGGATGCACTTAAATCGCACGATAATTGATGAATTAATTTATATTAAAAATAGCTTACATTTCTTATAATATTTCATACAAACTTGTATGATTTATATTAAAGAAATATTAAGTATAATTATTTATAAAAGATCTTTAGGTATGAAAGCCGGAAAAAAAAAAACAGAATAAATATTTAGATATATAATTGTATAAATTTTAATTATGCTAAATAAATGCGACATTCGCCTCATATTTTTGTATCCTTATTAAAATATTACAACATATTTATTGAAGTGTGCTTTTAGAAATTTTAATTTTTTTTTACCCATACTATTAGAATTTCCAATTTTTTGTATAAGATACTTTGCACAGAAAGTTAAATTTTTTTATCTTCAACATGAGTCACGCGTAATACATTCTAATTTTACATCGATACAATACTATGTAAGCTGAATATATTTAGAAAATAATGTAAGAGAAATCGAGAATTATATACCGATTGTCAAACAAACGTAGAAATTTTACTCTGTCCTTAATTATAAACAAGAAAAATAGAAAAATGAAGATATGAGAGAGAGAGAGAGAGAGAGAGAGAGAGAGAGAGACAGACAGACAGACAGACAGACAGAGAGACAGACAGACAGACAGACAGACAGACAGACAGAGTGAAATAATGAGAGGGAGAAAATCAAAATATGGTTCTTCAAGCTAGTGAAGACACACAATATTCGTTTTTTCATTTGCATGGCAAAGTATCCATGACCATTTATTATTTACAAGTCAACTTGCGCCGTGTACGTGTCGACTGTCGCCACCGCTAAGTGTCTACTGCTGCTACTGGGTAAATGCGATACAAACAGTATCCGATAACCATTGCACTGCGGGACAACACTGTCGTGTTCATTTGCCAATTAGCTTGCAATGTCCGTCGGTGATGTTAAATGCGAACGTCTCTTATTATCTATGACGTTTTCTAAAGTTCAACGTCGTGTGCATTGCCAAGCGCACATTCGTCTATGTGGTTATATCATTATGTTAAAGTAAGTGATTTCTCTTTCCAACCATTCAAAAAAAATTTCAAATCACATATTGAAATTTCTACTTTCCAAATTCAAATTGAAATACATTAAAGGATTTCATTTTATTTATTTCCCCAATATTTAAAATCGAATAGGAAACAAATTGAATCCTCGTTTGAGTTAAAAACAGTCGTTATTTCAACAGGTTGGATTATATTATTGAAAGTTATAAAAATAAATGCAAATGTAAAAATATAACTTCTTATTAATATAATTAACTAAAAACAATTTAAGTCTTATGTATAGATGTAAATTATTTGAGTTTTATTTTTCTACTAATAGAATTTCAATTATAATAGCAAATTTTAATGGGAAAGTTTCGAAAAAATAATTTTTGAGAAATATATTTCGAAGGACTAATTTTGAAAAACACGAAATAATAATTGCATATTAGTTTTTTAATTTACCAATTAAATGATAAATTATTTTATAAAATATTTATTATAATAATAATATTTTTAATAAAATAATTACAATAGATTGGAATGATAATATTAGTCTTATCCGTTTAATTAAATTTATTAAACTGTATATTCATTTCGTGATTATTCATGAT